AAATTTTATGGTAGTAGGAGGTGAATATTTTAACAGTTTTCGTATGCCTAGCAAAGCCCAACTTTGTATGATTTTACACAAAAGGCTACTATTATGTATATGGAGATAGGAGCTGGAATCCAGTACCTGTACTATCTCTACTAAATATGCATAAATGTTCCTACATAATCCTCATTTACTGTATTTCTTTTCAATTTTATTGAGAATCAAAATTGTTTAGGTTCTCTTTTAAAGTAAGATTTCTTAATTTTTCATGGTTACATGTAGCACTAGATTACTCAAGAAAATTATGAATTTATAAAAGGAGGATATATAAATCGACAGTATGAATGATTAGAGAATCTATTAAAGCAGCAGAACTTATTCACTGATTGTTCTGCCACAGAAATTAAAGCCTGCATAAATATTGGCTTAAAATGGGAAATTTAAGCCCATCACCATTCGGTTATATTTGGGGGATCAAGTGCTTAATTTTACTTATCTTTTCTATAAGTATAAAAATATAATGTTTCAACCTGAATATAATATTTTGAATGGCAGTTTTTCTTCACTTCCTAATATGCATTATAGTTATGAAGGGAATACCAATTTACACCAAGCATTGAATAAGTTAAATATCCTCTTAGTATTGATTATTAGGAGTTTTCATAATTCATCAGCAGAATTATTTGTGTTTACTCAAATTCTATACATGAATCAGAAACTACTTATGTTATTTTAATATCTTTTTATTATAACAAACTAAATGTTAGTGTCAGACTACATTTTTTTATTGTAAGAACTCAGGTGCTGGTCACTTACATTAATAACCTAGAGGTCTGATTCCTCTTACATGTGTATCAAGGACATGAATGGTCAGAAATCATAAAAATTAAATACACAGGTCATCTATTGGGACACTCTGAGCCAGACCATTTCCTTCAGTGACCAAACATAATTTTTTCTTTAACTTGACACATGTGTAAGATTTGTGTTTGAGTCTAAATTACACAAACTATAAAAAGATACAAGAAATTCTAGAATAATTCTCATTTTAAATGGTGATTTAAATTAAAATTTAGTGATTCAAAGATCTTATCATTAATAATTAACCCAGCGCATAACTGTTACAGAAGTGTCCTGACTATGGCTTTGTCAAGTAAAAAAGCATTAATAATGGGAAAGTTGAAGTATATGTCCTTCACTATAATTTTTTGATAATGTGTACAGAATCAATGAGTATTGCTGGATGACTTCAAATTATTTTATTAGGTTAAAGAGGGAGTAAAATTACTCCTAAGAAATTATTTTTTCTTTTTAAAACTACCATAGAAAACCTGAAACTAATATAATATGTCAACAACTATAATTGAAAAATAAAAAAATAGTTTAATGAATAAATAAAACTAACAGAAAATTATTAAAAAACGAACTGTTTACTTGCTATGTGTTTTAATAGTAAGGTCCGCCTTTAAAGATTAAGTAAGTATTCATTCCTTAGTAGTATAGTATATAATAGTTCTTTGATTTGATGGCAGGAACAAAATGAAATACTTACCAAACATTATTGTCAAGAGGGCAATTGGCATCACAAATAATCCAACCAGCAAATCAGCCACTGCCAGGGACATTAGAAAATAATTGGTAGCGTACTGCAGTTTTTTCTCCAGTGAAACAGCCAGAATAACAAGGATGTTTCCACCAATTGTAGGTATTATCACCATGATTATCAGAAGAGCTGCCCAGCGTGGCTTGTTCCCCTGTTGCTCACCAATCTGTTTCATTTCCTCTGGTATTGATTCTGTCTGTAACCCAGACCAGTTAGAAGAGATTAAGTGATCAAATGATCTCTGCAAAATGAGCTCAGGAATTGTGCTTTGTTCAGATGTTCTATAAGAGAAAGCCATTCGCTGTTTTTCTATGATTTGATCCGATTCCAGACAATGGTCAGCATGGTCAATAGATAAACTGGTCATCTGCTTTTTTAAGGCATTCTTCCCATGCCAAATACTTGAAGCCAAAGTTGATTCTTTCCTTTCAGAACAATTCCAAGTTCTCTAAAATAGAGCACACATGTATCTGTCCATGTCTGTAGGTAAAGCCCAAGTTTAATATTCTGCAGAAGCCCAGATTTCAGAAGGTTTCTTGAAATAAAACGATAGCTGTAAAAAAAAAAATCCATTAATTTTTCTCTCTCTTTTTTTTCCTTCTGTAATGGAAGAGTTGTGTTAGAATTGGGATGTCTGGAAGTTTTTCCTAGGTGTAAAATATGTGGGTTGCATTATTTTATTTACTTTCAAAAAACAGAATAACACTTGAACTTAGCCTTTCCCTTCGCAATAAGTCTCTTGTGCATTTTTGACAGTGTAGCCAGTTTCCACAAACATGTTCCTGATATTTCAGTGGTTAAAATAAAAAACAACTTAACTTTACTTTAGAATACGTACCGAAGAATAAAAACACCAAAGTACTATATAGTTCTGAATTGAACTTTTTGTTACACACTAGCCACACACCTAGATACACTCTCAGCCCACCTAAAGTGTAAATTTTTTACCAGCCAGGAAATTTTTATTTGTAGTTTTTATTCTTTGAACGAGGCTTATCTGAAAACTGATATATGTGCTGTTTTCATAAAGCATTTTAGGACTTCTTTAATTTGATAGAAGGGGAAAATGCAGGTATTACTAGGATCCAAATAATTGTTTTAGTAATTTCATCTTGTTAAAAAAAAAAAAAAAAAAAGCATGTTTCTGCAACAGATATTTTTTTCCCCAAATTTATCACTTTCTCCCAAACTTGAACCAGTTTTTTGTTTTAAATAATTTTTTTCTTAACCTTCTCAGTTTCTTTGGAAAGGAGGGGAAACTAAGAGGAAGATTAAAACATTTATTCGTAAAATCTACAGATCCCATATTAAAAATGTTCCATTTAACATTGGTAAATTTTTCATTTTAGTTTTTAAACTACTAAATAGAAATGAAAGATGATACTAGCGCAATTTTTAAAGAAAAAATATATTAACTCTATTATTATTTATTAAATACTTACCTCTTATTTGCTCGTTTTCATTATCTGCTCAGCAGACCTGCTTGCTGTTGTGACTGAAGTCCTCCTCCCGTTGACTTATTCTGAGCCTCCAGCACTGGCACTTGAAAATAATGAAACTAATGTGTTTTATAGCTGTAAGCATGCCAAGGAGGTTATTTCCTCTTTGATATATTCGTTTTAGAGAGTAGCAGCATTCATTATAATTCATAAAATTACCAATGAAATATGTTGAACCAGTTCATGACCCTTATTCAAGTTATATTCTTAAGAGCTCTCTTTAATATTTGGGAAATTATAATAAACCCTGTCATTTTAGCTTAAGATAGATTTGTTGTGGTTTAACCCTGGGCTGTTTTTCCCATTTGAGGAAAAATAAGACACAATCTAGAAATTGTAGAGCTTTCATTCTGTGAAGAGTCTGCCCTGTGAGCCTTATAGCAATTTCTAGAGTTCTAATTTCTGGCTGTGAAACAAGATTCTTACCCAGTTTTTTATGCCTTTGCTATGGAACATAATTTGCTCCGGTTGCAGCCTTATATAGAAAAGCACAGGAAGGTCTGTATCATAGGTTTTAGCAGAAACTTTTTCATTGCTTATTTTTAAACAAATGGCCTCTGAATTTGAGAGTTGGTTCATTGGCAATTTTTTTTGTTTTGTTTTTTCACAGATATGTTGGAGAAAGCATATGATATATAATGGAAATATATTTCTGCTTTATTACAGAAAATGGATATAAAAGTCTTAGCAGCTATGTTATCTAAATTTTCACAACCATAACACTAGCTTAGTACTAGAACTTCAGCATTCTCATTTCCTTTTTAAAAGATCATCATAGGTCACTTGTATTTTAAATTTATTTAATTACTTTGATTACTGATAGTACTTATAGTATAACCTTTTGCTGTTTCAAATTATATTTCTTAGCTTGTGTGGTAGTTATTGGAAAATACTTGATTCATTTCAATTTTTCTGAGCACTTCAGATTTTATTTAATATTTGCTTTTTTAAAACTCAAATTCAATATTTTAGAAAAAATATTTAAGAATTTGAAGTAAAAACAAATAAAATAATACTAAAGAACAATAAGATGGATTTAGTATGCCAGAATTTGTCTTTAGGAATATGGAAATATTTTTTAAATACTGTTTTATTATGAAATTACATTTTGGGCTCTGTGCTTACACAGGTATATAGAGGTTTGCAAAACAAATTACATCATATTTAAAACAGCAGCCCCATTGTATCCAATGAAAAGACATGTATGAAGTAAACATTAATTTGTGTTTATAGATAAACTTTTATAAGTATTCTGTATATTTTTATAAGTACTAGCCATTATTATTATTATTATAATACTTGGTGAATACTAACACCTTCCACACAGATTCACTCACTTTTTTTAAACGTATCTTAACTGATAGTACTTAAAATTGGTACTTAGATTCTTAAACTTTTAAATTAGTTTAATGGCTTAGGAGCATAACTAGTTAGAACTTATTTGGCAAACTCAAATTATTAGAAGTATAATTGAGAACCAAAGAAAGCAAAATAATAAATAAATAAATAAATAATAAAAGGAAAGATATATATGTCAGTTGGCAAATAACTAAATTGTGCTCTAAAACGTCATTCATATTAGAAGGTAGTTTGTAAGTTCCTACTCCAGATCTTTTTACTGCACACACTCACAAAAACTATCTCTTCCTCTCTTTAATGAAAATAACATTTGCACGTGATGATAAGTCTTAAATATTACAAAAGAATGTTCAGTGATAAATTCACTCGAGACAGTTTCAATACACGTTTCCCTGCCAACTCCAGAGGAGAATAACAAATTAAAAATTGGATAAATTATTTCTCATAACTTTAATAAACTGACCTCAATTTGCTACTTATGTGAGTAGCAAACTCATCTTGACTTAAAATATGTTATGTATAACACTGTCTTCATTTTCTCTGTTTCTTATCAGGACCCCTGAACAGTGCCCCAGTGTTGTTTCATTGTTGTCAGAGAGTTATAATCCTCACGTGCGTTATGGAGCTGCCATGGCCCTGGGCATCTGCTGTGCTGGTACAGGAAACAAGGTAAAGCCCTAACCCAAAACCAATGGGATCAGTTCTTTCCTGGCGCCAGACTGTTTTCCTTCACAGAAAGGTTTATGTAACAGCTGTAAAAATACAAGTGTGGTATGATCTGTAAGACTTGCCTCACATAGCTTCCCAGAACTTCCTTACTTTACTGTCTGGATGGCTCAAAGCCATTTAAGAACAAACTACCACATTATATGGGTGGCTAAAATGGAAAAAATGCTGTTGACTTTGGTTATTTTACATGTTTAATTTGCAGAATTAGTATTGTGGAAATCAAGGTTCTCATATGAAGCCACCAAAATCAATTCAGTTTTATTCCTTTGATTTGTTTTGTTGTCAGACTGACCTCAATTTGCTACTTATGTGAGTGACTTTGGGCAAATTACTTAACATTTCTAACTCTCAGTTTCTTTGTTTATAAAGATTATTTGGTGTTGTCATTGTTATTTTTGTTTTGTTTTATTTTTAGGTTTAAGAGGATTATCTAAGATAACATCCATAAAATACCTACTACTGTGCCTAGGAAATAAAGGGTGCTTATCAAACATTAGTAATTTTCTCTTACTTTCTTTTTTACCTATTTTACCTAAAAACAGGAGCACTCGTGTTCTGCAAGCTTCCTTTTCACATACCATCAGTTATATTGAAATTTAAAGCATACTCAGTTCTGAACTGTGCATCCAGTTTATCTTAAATTAACTTGTTATTACAATGTCAGATGATTATAATAGAATAATGGTAACTAATTTGTAAACCCAGCTATGTGAATTTTATTTAAGGGTGGTTGTTTTTTAATGCTTTCAGGAAGCAATTAATTTGCTAGAACCAATGACAAATGACCCTGTGAACTATGTGAGGCAAGGAGCTCTCATAGCTTCGGCTCTCATCATGATCCAGCAGACTGAAATCACTTGTCCAAAGGTGAGCAAACAAAATGAGTTTCTAGAATACAGTTGGTTCAAGCTTTTCTTTAGGTACCTTCTTTTGAGACATTTTTACCTCAAATGTGGTGAACACTTAACTCATAGAAAGCCAAGAGGTAGGAGAATGGCAAAACTTTAAATATATAACACTCTTTAAATGCATTTCTTACAGATTTATGGTCACTTTGTTAATTCAACTATATAACCATACTTGAAAAATAGAATTCATGGGTTCGTGAAATCATAAAAGTCAACTTTAATTTTTGTCTTCTGCTGTCCTTTTAAAATGTATTCAGTGAGATAACTTGTTCCTCTGATACAGGATGTTAACTCAGACAGTATATACAATTTCAGTTTAGAAATGACATTGCCCTCTTGTGTAATCTCTTAGACAGGATTTTAGATAGCTTCAGGACAGCTATCTTTTTCCCTCTTGGCCCACCTCTGTCCAAAGAAACACCCCTGCATATGTTGCTCTTCTCGTAGGTGGGAGTATAATAGACTTTCAGTGCAGCTTTGCCTACTCTGCCCTTTGTCTCTCTCATCCTCTTTTTCTCTCTGTTTCCCTCCAACCTTCCTTCTTCCCTACCATCCCCGCCAGTCCCTCAGTCAATAGCGAATGCCTCTCACTTTATGTGCCAGATGTCCGTGCACAGTGACTACTGGTCATATTAAGCTCTCCATGTGGTCCCTCTGAAGCCCATTTTGTTGAGAAAATAAAATGCATAGTTCTTATTTACATGTGCTAAAAATTATCATGTTTAATATATATTAAATAGATGTGGTAGCTAGTGCAATAATTTCAGATCTTTTCATTCTGAACTTAAAATCAGGGCAATTAACAGCCTCATATTAATTCTGCTCTCATATGAGAAGCAGTCAAAAATTTGACAACAGAGAAGAAAAATCATTAGTATACTGTTTTTGCCCCATCAAGCAGATGTTCAGCATTATTCTTTTTTTTTTTTTTTTTAAACATATTTGTATTGATTTCAAAGAGGAAGGGTGAGGGAGATAAATTGATAAATAAAGGGATGGGAGAGAGAGAGAAACATTGATTGGCTGCCTCTTGCATGCCCCCTACCGGGGAAGAGCCCACAATACCAGCATGTGCTCTTGACCAGAATCAAACCCAGAACCTTTCAATCTGCAGGTCGATGCTCTATCCACTGTGCTAAACCAGCATCATTCTTTTCAGCAAAATAGGTAGATGTAGGGGATAGGGATAGAAGAGAAAATTTTCCAGAACTCATTGACTATTCTTTCTCATTTATGGGACTTTATTTAATAGGTTTTACTTTCTAAGCAGTTACTATCATTTTTGTTTCTTTTTCAGTGCTTCTCTCTTTGTCAAAATTTTAAGACATCCAAAAATTACATTAGTGCAGATAGAGTCAGTCTTCACATCTGTCTCAATAATTGTCTTCTAGGGTATAAACATTTTTTTCACACAGGCCACATTTCTTTCTTTTTTTGTTTTAAATATAGCAGTTATGAATAGCTTTTACATTTTTTATTTTTGCTTTTGACTTTCTTCTGATCTTTATCAGTTGGAGGTTATCCAATTGAGTAATATAGTATTAAAAGAAGAAAGTTTAGGCCATGGAATATACCTCCCCTAACGGTAATATACAGATATTTATTCATTTTGGCCTCACGTGTCAGTTGCATATTATTTGTATTGTGAACAAGATGTTTACCATCTTCCCCTCTCTATTGTAGGATGTTTTTTATTTATTTGTTTTGGTTAATCCTTACCCAAGGATATTTTTCCATTTTATTTATTTATTTATTTAGAGAAAGTAGACGGGATGGGGGAGAGAGAGAAAGGTTAGTGTGAAAGAGACACATCAATTGGTTGCCTATGGCATGTGGCATGACCAGGGCCAGGGATTGAGCCTGCAACCGAGGTACATGCCCTTGGCCGGAATTGAACCTGGGGCCCTTAAGTCCAAGAGCTAAAGCTCTGTCCAGTGAGCCAAACCCAGTTAGGGTATCTGCTGTAGGATTTCATAATCATAAGCTTTATACCAATAATGGCAGAGTCCATTAGGGAAGTGTTAGGAAAGGGAGACTGTAGTTTGAGAAAACATTCAACTATTCTAATAAAACGGTTTCATTTGTAGAAAAAGTACAAAAATTCAGCAGTTTAAATAATTAGCATTTTTTAATGTATTTTTTTTTTTTTTTTTTTTTTTTTTTTTTTTTTACAGAGAGGAAGGGAGAGGGATAGAGAGTTAGAAACATAGGTGAGAGAGAAACAACAATCAGCTGTCTCCTGCACACCCCCTACAGGGGATGTGCCCGCAACCACGGTACATGCCCTTGACCAGGATCCAACCTGGGACTCTTGAGTCCGCAGGCGGACGCTCTACTCACTGAGCCAAACTGGTTAGGGCAATAATTACTATTTTTAAATCCTTTTATAAAATATTGTTGAGACAAGTCTTATTAGCTCGTGAGAATACATGGGGCACACTTCCATCTTCAGGTTGTATCAGAATCTGGATATTGTGATTAAGAATGTTGAAATATGGTAACAGATAACTGTCCTTGCCATTAAATAAACTCAGTGGGGAAAGTCAAGTTTGTACCCCCACTCCTACAAAAATAAAACTGTACGGCAGTATAAAAATCAAATGTTCTTTGCTCTGGCCATTGGGACTCAGTGGTTAGAGCACCAGCCCTTGCACTGAAAGGTTTGATTCCTGATCCAAGGGCACATTCCTGGGCTTGCAGATTTGATCCTCAGCCCTGTGGGGGTGCATGTGGGAAGCAACCAATCTTTGTGTCTCTCTTACATCAATGTTTCTCTCTCCTCAGTCTCTCTTTCCCTGCCTCCCTCCCTTCTACTCTGAAAAGCAATGGAAAAAATATCCTGGGGGAGTGGAGGGGAAATTAAAATTGTATCTCATTGTTTTCTGCTATTAAGCATGTGATAAGAAGCTTTGTAGACTATAGTTTCTATCATTTCTATCTGATAATTGCTAATAGGACAACATTCACAATTCTTTTGGAGTAATATGTAACATTTTTCTGTAAAGAAAAAGCTGTTAACAAGCTTGAAGAGAAGTTTTAAAGTTTACAAAGTCCTAGTTACAAGATTGTAAACGAGTTCATGCAATAAAGTGGAAAACCATGAAATCCAAGATTAAATGTTAATTTCATCAAAACTATAGCCCCTCCTCAAAAGAATCCAGAAGGAACATTTTTCAGATATTTTGTGAGATTTATAATTGATATTTCCAAAGGAAATATTTTTATGTAATCAGGATACAGGTCATCTTTTTACAGAATGCCATCTTAACACTTAGCTCTATATTGTAATTTTATTTGAAATAACTCCAGTACATCCTTGCCTTTCCTCTGCCAGTTTTTTGCTTGCTCACTCTCACAAACATATACCCAGCAACATGCATACATCCCTGGGTGATTACAAACTCAATTTAGGAAGCCCTTTGACCAGAGGCTCAGAACTAGAATAATGCCTTTTAGACATAAACAGGAATAGGTTCTTGGAGCTGTTTTCTCTCAGGAATTCAACTCTGCTCTTTATGATGGATCTGTCTTTTGTTTTTTACTTTTTACATGAAATCTATCTTTAGCAGTTATTTGATCATGTATATAGTATCATCTATAGAATCAAATAAAGATACTGATGTTTAAGAGTAGATCTTTTGCTCCTCCTTGCCTAATATCTTTCCTACCGTCTGCTCAAGGAAGTTTCACCAACAACTGAGAAGATATCCTTTTTTGAAGTAGGATTATAATTGGTCAAGCTTGATAAGCTTTTAAGGTTCTAAAATAAATCCCAGTTTGGATAGATTAGGCTTTTGTGAGCTCTTGAAACTTTAATATTATATGGTAATATTTTACAGCACACCACATTTGTAAATAGTAATCTATATTATCGTACTGTTGCCTTAACATGTTAAGCACCCAGCCTGTTTTGTCTTCCGGATGGAAAGTATAGTGTCAGTCACCAGTGACTGACAGGGTTCTTAACATGTTAAGATAGGGAGTTGAACTCTAATAGTGTAGATAGTAATATAAAGAAAGGGCTACAAGCAACTACCACGAACAAAATATTACTAATAAAATTGAGAAGTATCTGCAATTATTATTTGGGATATTGATAATGGGAAATCATGAAAGCACTGACAAATATCTTGAAAGAAGAATTAAGAATTTTTATTTTAGGTGTGTTGAATTTGAGCTGATAGTAAGTCTGCTGAACTTAAGATGAGAGCATAGCAAAAGAGTCAGAACTAAAGAAAGAGCCGGGACCGGTTTGGCTCAGTGGATAGAGCGTCGGCCTGCTGACTGAAAGGTCCCCGGTTCTATTCCGGTCAAGGGCATTGGTTGCGGGCACAAACCCAGTAGGGGGTGTGCAAGAGGCAGCTGATCGATGATTCTCTCTCATCGATGTTTCTAACTCTCTATCCCTCTCTCTTTCTCTCTGTGAAAAAAATCAATAAAATATATTTAAAAAATAAAATAATTATTTAAAAAAAAAAAAAGAAGAAGAAGAACTAAAGAAAGAGATTTGGAAATTAGCCACAAAGAAATTTTAAAAGTGCATAGCTCTTTATCTACAATTCAGAAAGCTCTGAAAACTAAGGGTGTTTTGTTTTGTTTTTTTAATTTTTAAGGACTCATTTGGCTGTAAAACCTGACCCAATCAATATGAACTCATTTATTACCTCAAGCATTTTGCTGCTTCAGAAACAATTTGTTTTATTATGGGACTTTGCCTCTTCACTAAACTCTGAGTATTGAATAATATATAGTGCATACACCATGTTAGCTTTCTAAATTCTGAATTCCAAAATTCATCTACCCTCAAGTACTTCTTGGTAGGAATTATAGACCTGTAGTTTAAGTCATAACAGCAGATGTAATAGAAAGAGAAAATAAAATAAAGGGGAAAAAACTCCCAGTCTAATCCCTCATGTGCAGCTACAGTTCTATATTCAGGAAAATAGAAAAAAAGTAAAAAAGAGGAGACATAGCCAGGTGATGAGTAGCAGCAAAAATGACTCCCGGGAAACTTAATTCCCTTCTTTCCATTCTTTATTTTTTCTCTGACATCTAAGAGTGTTTTTCCCCCAAGTAGTATAAGGTTTAGAGTTTAAAACAAGATGAATATAAAAAATGCATTAATTTGGAGAAGGTAGATTTAACTATTTCTTTCTGTGAGATTATTATAATACTAGAGGCCTGAGGCATGAAAATCGTGTAAGGGGCTCAACCCCCACCACCATGGCTTCGTCCAGAAGGACATCTATTCTCATTAGCATATTATACTTTCATTATTATAGATAAGATGGGAAATTAATGTGATTTTTCTCCTACAACTATCTTATGTGTGGGAGGGGTATGGGGGGGTAATATACATAATAATGAAATTGAGTCAGAAAATCCTGATTCTAGCCGTGATTGCAGTTAGTTGTTTGTGATCACAAGTAAGACAGTAATTTCACCTCTTTTACTTCAGCTTTCGCATTTGTGAAATAGAGGGAGTACACCAGATGATCTTGAAGTCGACTTCCAAACTTAAGATACCTACAAAAAATAATCATTCTTTATGAGGTATCATAGTAATGAGATTAAACTACTGCTACATCGGTAGTAAAATGCAAAGAAAAAATTTTAAGTGATTAAAATTAGTTTTAATCACTAGTTTTAAAAGCTAGTTTTTTAAAGTAGTATACTTAATATGATTTAGATAGCCCATTATATATTTGCATTGATTTTTTTTTAATCTGTCTTTCATTTTATCGGATATTTTTCTATTGTTTTAAGTGTAATTTTATATTTAAATTCTTCCTTATGGTGTACATATTGTGCTTTGACCAGTATTCCTTTTTATAAGTTCTTAAAATATTTTACAACATTCTTTACAACAAAATTTCCATCCTATATAAGGTAATGTAAGTGTTCGTCCAAAAGAAGTTCACAGAAAAGGAAACAAAAAAAAAAAAGAAAGAAATTCAGAATCAAAAGAAAGAAATGCTGAACCAGAATAGAAGCGTCAAAACTTAGACTTTTTAAAACTAAAAGGGACTTTTGTGATGATCTAATCATGCTGGGTTTTATGGTTTAAAAAAGTAAGACCCAGAGAAAGGAGTAGCTTATTATGTGCTGGGTAGTAGCAGTTCATTGTTTTTCCATCACATTCTGTTGCTGTTTATGAGTAAAAAACAAGAACCATGTTTAAGGAATATGATTTTTTAGCCGTACTTAAGTTACAGAGATAATAAAAGGACTAGTAGGATTCTGCCTCTGTATGGTAAGAGCCATGCTTATTAAACTATAAAATGCCTCTTTCCATATAATTCTTATAACAGCCATATAAGTAGGTGCTGTAATGTCAATCGTGATGAGAAAAACAAACTCAAAAAAGCTAAGTCCTTACCCAAACAGCTTATTAGAGCAGAGGTATTTATAAGCCAGCATTGTCTGATTTTTATATTACTCTGCATTATCACAATGTGGCCTGCCAAACCAAGATGAATGAAGAAGGGAAGAGATTCTGAAAGAATATTTAATACATATAAATATTCTTGTATTTCAAATTCAATATATTCTGCTTTGGGCAGATTTGGGGAGCTTCATGATCTTGTTCTTGAACAAGCAGAATTCTTCCTGGGTACCTATCATTTGAAAAGCACTGGTGAGAAAACAGAAGTGTAAGATGTGGAAGAAGTCTAAAATAAAATAGTTCACTTATTATTTTCCAAACCATTTTAAAGGAATCACAAATACATTAAGAACATAATTTTATGAATATTATTTTATAATTATAAAAGTCATATATATAAGTTTAGAAGATGCAGAAAAGAATAAAGAAGCAAACAGAATTACCAGTAATCCCATACTAAATGAGGCAGCACATGTTTGACTTTAGTGTGTTCCTTTTCATAAGAGTAAATATTGTGATATGTCCTCAAAAAATTAGTGTGTATGCATAAAGAATCTTTGCTGTATGTGTGAATACACTTAATCCAAAATATACCTCACACAACTTCACTGAAGGGTAGTTTACTTTAGGATAGACTGAAAGGACCATGCCTGTTAAGAAATCTGTAAGGTTGATGGTAAGCAGAATAGCTGTAATTCACAGTGCAATGAAAGCCTTACTGTTGGATTCAACATTCCTTTGAGCCTGAATCATTAACTGTGGAATGAAGGTTGAAAACAGAACTGGTGCTCCCTCACCAGAAAAGTCATAACACCATGATTTCAACCGTAGAACTATGTTTTCTTCAACTATCCATATTCTTCTCTTTGAATGTTATGAAATTCAGGATTCAAATTTCATTACCAATTGAGCAACCTGTTTTTTCCTGTTCTAAAATGATACACCAAATGAATAGAATTAGTCTATTATTCTTTCTCTTGTTCCTTCAGGTGAGTCAGTTTAGACAACTGTATTCCAAAGTCATCAATGATAAACATGATGATGTCATGGCCAAGTTTGGTGCTATTCTGGCCCAGGGAATATTGGATGCAGGTAAATGTTTTTAAGTCTTCCGGATTTATTTATCTCTTTATACTAAGCCTGATAAAATTACTGTATTATGTGGTAGAAATTGAGTTTGGGGTAAATTATTCATAGAAATAATTTAGCAGAGTGCATACTATGAGGGTTTGAGTCCCATTGCCTGTACAGTACTAGCCATATGACCTTGAGAAGTTGTTTCCCTTTCTTTATATCTGTTTTCTTGTCTTGTAAAGTCTACCTCATAGTATTGTGAGAATTAAAAATAGAACAGAGCCCACTTACTAAAGGATTCAATGTGTGTTGGCTAATTTTTTTTTCAGTTGTCTTAGTATATATCAGTTTTAAATAAGTTGAAATAACTTGGAGGAAAAATTATGTTTTAGATCTAGCCAACAATGCCTACTTCTATAGGAAAAAGGTCTAGTTTTACTCTTAGTTCAGTTAAAATACAACACTTTCAGTCTTAGATAGCTCACTGGCTAATTCCAGCAACTCCATATTAAATTTTATGAACTGTACTCTTAAAATAATCACCAAATACTTCCCTAGCACAGTACTTAAAAATCTTTATGATTGCCCTCCTGAATTCATGTTCATGATTTCTCTCTCTTTCTACAGGTGGTCATAATGTCACAATATCCTTACAGTCTAGGACTGGACATACCCATATGCCTTCTGTGGTTGGCGTCCTTGTCTTTACCCAGTTCTGGTTCTGGTTTCCTCTTTCACATTTCCTTTCATTGGCTTATACCCCTACCTGTGTCATTGGCCTTAACAAGGACTTAAAGGTATGTTTGTGAGACCTCAGTTTTATAGTGCATCTTCACAGCATTCTGTTCACTATCTATCTGCTCACAAGTATTTTCATGAAATTTTAAAGATGAGTTAGTTAGTATCCCATCAATAACATATTTCCCCCTTAAATTGAATCATCACCTGTTGAGTAGAATGTGTTGGTGGAAATTTTAAAAATCATCTTCTTACTAACTTTGTAACCTTAGGTAAACCAATTGAGAGGGAATGGTGAGAGAGGGCACAAAATATAAAACCATGAAAGGCTTTATAAATTACTCTGATGAACTTTATTAAAAATCTGGGAGCTATTGGATGATTTCATGCAGATAAATATGATGAAATCATGTTTGCATTCTAGAAACATCATTCTGGTATCAGTGGAAATTTGTTATAATAATCTGGACAAGGAAGAAAAGGACCTAAACTTAATCTTAATGAAAAATGAAGGTTAATATGTTTTTATTTATTTCAGAGAGAAGAAGGGAAAGGGAGTGAGGGATAGAAACATAATGATAAGAGAGAATCATTGATAGGCCTCCTGCAAGCCTCCCCACTGGGGATTGAGCCCACAGCTTAGGCACATGCCCTGACTGGGAATTGAACTGTGATCTCCTGGTTCAATGGTTGATGCTCAACCACTGAATGGCACTAACTGGGCTCATCCTTTTTTTTTTTTTTTTTTTTTAATGGGGCTTGTGCTTAGGTCTTTCTCAGTTCTATGGCTCTTCCATTGCCTTTTTACTCTTCTATCCACTCAGAGATCTGTTTGACCCATAAATAACTCTTATATCTGGTCATTACTGTTGTTAAAATGTTCTGTTAGGTTTTCAGAGTGAAAAAATTTTAGGCAAAAAAAAAAAAAATGGTTGATAGAGATTATTTTATTGAATTGATTTTTTTTTTTTTCATATAGCTGTTGAGCAAATTATCCTTTAAGTATTTCAGTACTAAATTATTCTCATGTGTAAATATTGGTTAGTTTTAGTTCTCAAAACACGAATCTTTTGGTTTACCAATTCCTAACCCTTAACATATGGTTAAATATATTATAGAATCTTTAGGGACTTTTTCCTCTGACCCACAATTTTATGATCTCTATTTCTATTCTATATGTATACATACACACACACATTAGAGGCCTAGTACATGGATTCGTGCACTGGTGGGGTCTCTCAGCCTGGCCTGCACCCTCTTGCAATCTGGGGCCCCTTGGATGTCAGAGAGCTGGTTTTGGCTTGATCCCCACAGGCTAGGCCAAGGGACCCTTACTGGTGCACAAATCCGTGCACCTTGCCTCTAGTATGCATAAAATATCTTTGGTTAATCTCTTCTCCCTTCCCCTCTTCTTTCTGTGATTCATCAGTCCTATTGCATGTTTTCATGCCTGTGGTTTCTGCTCCTGCATTGAGCATCTGTCCCCTGGTGGTTGTCATAGCTACCGGACAGTCAGATGGTTGCTTCGGCTTTATATATATATATATATATTTTTTTATTTTTTTTTTCTATTTGATTTTAGAGAAGAAAGGAGAGGGAGAGAGACAGAAACATTAATGAAGAGAGAGAATCATTGATCAGCTGCCTCCTACATGTCCCTTACTGGGGATCAAATCTGCAACCTGTGCATATGCCCTTGACTGAAATTGAACCTTCAGTACACAGACCAACACTCTACTTAGCCAAACCAGCTGGGGCATCTGTTTCCATCCTTTACAATGAAAGTGAGATAGAAAGACAAGATTTCTTGTCCTAGTATATATGATGCTTATGATCATTCTTTATCAATGCAAACTGGGTAAAAGAAATAAGTGCTGTAAAACTGATTTTTCCAGGAGGTTCATGTTAGATTCTTGTAAGGTATAATTATGTGCTGTAGAAATTGTATACAAATTGGTATAGGTTTTTAATGTGATACTAGAAGGGATATAGAAGTTAGGTATGCAGGCTGGATAATCAGATAACACTTTACAAAAGTGGTAACAATCTGATGCTCACACCATAATTGGAATTTAACCCACTAAGCCAGGTCTATGGTCAGTAAAAATGAGATAAAGGGATGCCTGGATTGAAATTTCTGGCATCCCTTTACATTTGTATATTTGTTAAGAGCATATAATACTTAAATCTTTATTTTGATTATTTTAATGGAGGAGGGAAATTCTTTTATTCCTTCAGATGCCGAAAGTTCAGTATAAATCAAACTGTAAACCATCCACATTTGCATATCCTGCCCCACTGGAAGTACCAAAAGAAAAAGAAAAGGAAAAGGTAGGTTCTTTGTTATTTCAAACAGTATTTGTACTCATATAGAGGAGCTACTTAGTGTTTTACTTGGGTTTGTTTTAAAACTTTTTTAATGTTTTTATTTATTTTAGAGAGACAGAGGAAAGGGGGAGGGAGAGAGAGAGCAAGAAACATCCATCGGCTGCCTTGTGGATCGAGGCCAAAAACCCAGGCATGTGCCCTGACCAGGAATTGAACTAATCGAATGGGCAACCTTTCTGGTGTGGCTCAACCACCTGAGCCACATCAGCCATGACTAAATATTTTAAATTAGATACTTTTTAAGTAATACTTCCTACGGTAAAATCTAATATACAGGACTATAAAGTAAAAGCCCTTTTTCTCTCCTGATTATTCAAGTCCCATATTGCAAGAATCACAATTTGTGAATTCTTTCCAGTGTTTTCTCTGTATATATCATTACTTTTCATAATACAAAATAGAATTGTTCTCTACATACTGTTCTGCTTCTTGTTTTCACTTAAATAGTTTATCTTTAAAACTTTAAATCTGCTGAATTTTATATTTTTTAAACTTCAAGCCATTCCTTTATGTGTATATTATTATTTGTCTTACCAGTTCCTTTTCTGATAGACACTTAAGGTTATGTCTAATTTATCCCTGTAACAAATGAAACTGGAACAAGAGTTTATACATTTATACTATATAAGCTCTTAGATATGGAACTACTTGATCAGAAATAATGCACATTATTTATTTTTACAGGTATTATTTTAATGCCTATAAAGTTTGGCTATAAATTTTATAGCTAAATTTTATAGGCATTAACTAAATTTCCTTTTAAAATGCATATAACCAGTTTGTACTCCTACCAACAGTGTATGAGGACTCGGGTTGACACATGTTAAATCAGACTATGGTAAATTAGCTGCAATTGTTCCTGAAGTTTTCTCAGTAAAATTACCTTTTAATGATACCTTCTGTTTAGAAAACTGGTTCTTTATCTCAAGAGAATGTTTCGTATTAGCCAGTTGATTATTTGAAGTCAGTTTAAATCAATATTGCCAGCCTTTCACAGTCCTGGTTTCACCTTTGATTTCAGTGAGATCCATCAAGCTATTCACTCACCCACTGTATATCACCAATGTAGGACATCTAGTCCAATGAGAGTGTTTAACCAAATTTGGAGAAAACCTATGTTTTCCAGTGTGTTCCCTGTGAAGTAATAAAGGGTACAGCACTCAAGTCTCTATCTCAAAAGCATATGATAACAAATCCATAGCTACCCTAACCGGTAACTAGAGCATCAGCCCGTGAACTGAAGAGTCCCATATTTGATTCGGGTCAAGGGCACATACCTCAGTTGCAGGCTCAATCCTCAGTCCCAGTTGGACATGTGTGGCAGGCAACCAATGGATGTGACTCTCTCAAAAAAAAAATTTAATGTAAAAATACCCTCGGGTGAGGATTAACAAAAAATAAACAAAAACAACAAACCCATATCCAAGGTAAACAGCAGATACAAACCTCCAAGAACTAAAGGTTTACAATGAATATAGTAGTAATTATGTGAATAAATGTCTTGCTTGCTTTTCCCATTTATTCTTTGATTATTTTTTTCTTGATGTTACTGCCAGAAAACAAAATAGTAGTATAGGACTGAGTTCTCTGTGGACTTGTACATTTGTATGTAGATAAAGAGTCACAATGATTTAACCTATTTATTTCCTGTAGGTTTCCACAGCTGTTTTATCTATTACTGCCAAGGCGAAAAAGAAAGAAAAAGAAAAAGAAAAAAAGGAGGAAGAAAAAATGGAAGTGGTAGGTATAACTTAGTGGTCATATGAGTTGATTTATCCATCTCTGTATGGTCTAGCTTCTTCCTTAGTTGAACATTATTATACCTTACTCTTGGCTTCCTTTAAATAGTTGTACTATTCCAAGTATAGAGACTCATATAATTTTAATTGGAAGAGATTTAGAAAGTTATTTATTCATGTGAAGAATAAAATATTTCATGGTACAAATCAAAATCAGTTATTGGATAAAATGACAATTGAAATGGTCAACTTATATATAGAGCCTTTTTTTATATATATCCTCTGGTGGAAAAATCTCATCTTTTTAAATCAAGTTTAATATCATTCTTACCCCCAAGCAGAGTTACCCTCTCCTTCCTCTGAGTTTGATATTACTTTAGTTGTACCTTTATTATATCTAATCCTAAGTACCTTTTTACCTAATAGTTGTTCAGTAAACTTATCCAACATTATTCAGTGACATGGAACAGAAATGAACCTTTATTGGGCCATTTTTTCATATTTTCTAGGATGAGGCAGAGAAGAAGGAAGAAAAAGAGAAGAAAAAAGAACCTGAGCCAAACTTCCAGTTACTGGATAACCCAGCCCGAGTTATGCCTGCCCAGCTGAAGGTTCTGACAATGCCAGAGACTTGTAGATACCAGCCTTTCAAACCAGTAAGTTACTTATGGCCCTTAGGTATATACCCAAGGAATATTAACCCATAGGACAATATAATATTTATAAAAAAGGCTAAATCTCCAGAGCATTGGGGAAAGGTACTAGCCTAATAAATCTCTTAGCAAAAGGGAGAACATTTTCTTCCATTCCATATAGATATGGGGGAACGTTCCTTTGTATAATCCTGTTAAGTAACTTCATCTACCAGAGACTTACACCAAAGAAGTTCCTAATGCAAAGTAGTGATTAGTAGCATAGACTGGAGCCAGACATCCTGAGTTTGAATCCTGATTCTACTAGTAACAGCCTATGTGACTTTAGAACAGATACTGATAAACCTCTCTCTGCCTTAATTTCCTCCTCTAAAATAAAAATTATCCCTAACTCATAGGAATGTGGCAGAGATTAAACAAGGTAATACAGTTAATACATGAGCACTGAGAAAATTAAATTTTACAATTAGAAAAGAGTTGTCATGCTATTTAATTTATTCTAAGACAGAATGTTTCCTGTTAGCCCCACATTGTAATAAGTTGGTTATTGTTATAATTATTTTTATTACATATGGAAAATAAATAAACCTATCTATTTAATCATGAAAAGGGGGAGAGAAATTACTAAAATCAAGAAGCAAAGAGGGGACATTACTATTATACCAACCTTATAGAAATAAAAAGGATTATTACATGTGATTACTATGAATTACTGTGTTCCAACAAATTGAGTAATCTAGATGAAATGGACAAATTCCTAGGACACAAATTACTATAAATGACTCAAGAAGAAATAGAACATCTGAATAGACCTATAACAAGTAGAGATTGAATTAAGAATCAGAAAATCTACAAAGAAAAACTCAAGGCCAGATGGTTTTACTAGTTAATTCTTTAAAACATTTAAAGAAAAATTAACACCAGTCTTTTACAAACTTTCTAAAAAATTGAAGAGGAAGAAACACTGCCTAGTTCATTCTGTGAGGCCAGTATTACCCTGATAGTAAAACCAGACAAAGACTTTACAAGAAAAGAAAACTACATCAGCCGAAACCAGTTTGGCTCAATGGATAGAGCATTGGCTTGGGGACTGAAAGGTCCCGGGTTCGATTCTGGGCAAGGGCATGTATCTTGATTGCAGGCATATCCCCAGTAGGGGGTGTGCAAGAGGCAGCTGATCGATGACTCTCTCTCATCAATGTTTCTAACTTTCTCTCTGTACAAAAGCAATAAAATATATATATATATTTTTTTTTTTTTTTAAAGAAAGAAAGAAAAGAAAACTACATCAGTAATCAGTTTCATGCCTGGCCACGTGGCTCAGTGGTTGAGCATTGACCCATGAACCAGGATATCATGGTTTGATTCCTATTCGAGGCACATGCCCCAGTTGCAGGCTCAATCCCTAGTAGGGGACATGCAAGAAGCAGCTAATCTATTATTCTCTCTCAACATTGATGTTTCTATCTCCCTCTCTCCCCTTCTTCCTTCCTCTCTAAAATAAATAAGAACCAATTTTTTAAAAATAATCAGTATTCATGGATTGGAAGATTTAGTATTATTAAGATGGCAGTACTCCCCAATTGGATAACAGATTCAACACAGTTCTTATCAAAATCCCTACTGACTGTAAAAATTGGCAGACTGATCCTCAAATTCATATGGAAATTCAGGGGACCCAGAATAGCCCAAACAATGTAAGAAGAACAAGTTAGAAGAATTATACTTCCCAATTTCAAAAATACTGCCAAAGGACAAAATAGTATTATAGGACTGTGTTCTATTTGGACTTGTAATAAAGACTATGTGATATGGCCTGGCTGGCAAGCTGGCTCAGTGGTTGAGTGTCGACCTGTGAACATATGTGCTCAATTCCTAATCAGGGCACATACCCAGGTTGTGGGCTCAATCCTCAGTGGGGGACATGCAGGAGACAGCCAGTCAATGATTTTCTCTCATCATTGATGTTTCTCTCTATCTCACCTTCTCCCTTCTTCTCTGAAATCAATATTTTTTAAATATTAAAAAAAAAAAAAAAGATGTCTTAGAGTGTGGCGCTCTTGACAACAGGACCTATTCCATTGTGTGTATCTTCAGTTGTCACTAATCTCAGAATTGTAGAATGTCATATATCTTATTTTCTGTTTAGAAAGTTTGAACTTTCTTACTAACATATAACACTAAACCCTGTATCTATAAAAAGTTCTTTCCACATGTTGATTATATTATAAGATTTGAGTTAGATTATTTCATTTCACTAAGCATGAAATAAGTACAGTTATAACCTGACGCCAAATGTTTCCAAACTGTAGGAAGTCCTTTTGTGAACATGGGTATTTTCTTCTGTTTAGTAAAACATGTATTTCTATTTGGTCTTTAGAACAGCGGTCGCCAACCTTTGGACCTCAAGGACCACCAGTGGCCACTGTTTGGCAACCGCTGCTTTAAAAAGTTTGAGTAAACTTTTAGCCATGAACCATGTACTCTGATTGTTCTTGGGTAAATATTGGTAGTAAAAGTAGGATCTATTCATAAAATGGCTCCACTTAAGAAAAGCAAACTTTTTAAGAGCAAAAGTTCTAGATTAAAGTGTATGGATATGTGTTGTTAAGAGAAAGAAAATAGTTAAGAAATTTATGAAGCACGCCAGTTCTGTAGCATGGCAAGGCAGAGTTCTGATGAGTAAAAAATCAGATTAGATTGAACTGCAGAGATACTTATACATTTGTGAATCATTTAGCTAATGTTCTGGTGCTTCTTTTCCTTCCCAGTAATGTGCTTTGGTAGAAAATATGTTTTTTCCAGATGTGCCCTGCCACTATGGACTGATTTAATTAGAGAGAGCAGCTTTCCATTTCCTTTCACACAGGCATGCAAATAGAATAAGATTAGCACGCCAGAGTTTACCTTTTGCTGATAAGTTTGGGAGAGGCCTTAATAGGATTGCTATTTCTTCATTGCCTTCCATCTCGAGAATCTGTGGATCAAAGTGAAAACACTCAGATATTGGTTGTATTCATATTCTCTCTGTCATTCTGAAATTGAAGAAAATTTAACTTTTCATTTGTAGATTGTCTTTTGAGTCTAAAATTATGGTTTTTTCACAAATAAAGTGTCTACTATTAGACGAGGGTGCTTCTCAGACATTGATGTGCATATAAATCAACTGGAGATCTTGTTAAAAGGCAGATTCTGTAGATCTAGTGTAAGGACAAGTTTTCATTGCTAAGAAACTCCCAAGTGATAATGACGCTACTGGTCCTGGACCACAATTTGAATAGAAAGGTTTGGCACTAGCGGCCAGGCCCGGAGCAGCGGCTGCCAGGCTGGGAGCGGCCAGGCCCGGGGGAGCAGGCGGGGCTGGTGCGGCCAGGCCCGGAGCAGCGGCTGCCAGGCTGGGAGCGGCCAGGCCCGGGGGAGCAGGCGGGTCGGGTGCGGCCAGGCCCGGAGCAGCGGCTGCCAGGCTGGGAGCGGCCAGGCCCGGGGGAGCAGGCGGGGCTGGTGCGGCCAGGCCCGGAGCAGCGGCTGCCAGGCTGGGAGCGGCCAGGCCCGGGGGAGCAGGCGGGGCTGGTGCGGCCAGGCCCGGAGCAGCGGCTGCCAGGCTGGGAGCGGCCAGGCCCGGGGGAGCAGGCGGGTCGGGTGCGGCCAGGCCCGGAGCAGCGGCTGCCAGGCTGGGAGCGGCCAGGACCGGGGGAGCAGGCGGGGCTGGTGCGGCCAGGCCCGGAGCAGCGGCTGCCAGGCTGGGAGCGGCCAGGCCCGGGGGATCAGGCAGGGCTGGTGCGGCCAGGCCCGGAGCAGCGGCTGCCAGGCTGGGAGCGGCCAGGCCCGGGGGAGCAGGCGGGTCGGGTGCGGCCAGGCCCGGAGCAGCGGCTGCCAGGCTGGGAGAGGCCAGGCCCGGGGGAGCAGGCGGGTCGGGTGCGGCCAGGCCCGGAGCAGCGGCTGCCAGGCTGGGAGCGGCCAGGACCGGGGGAGCAGGCGGGGCTGGTGCGGCCAGGCCCGGAGCAGCGGCTGCCAGGCTGGGAGCGGCCAGGCCCGGGGGAGCAGGCGGGTCGGGTGCGGCCAGGCACGGAGCAGCGGCTGCCAGGCTGGGAGCGGCCAGGCCCGGGGGAGCAGGCGGGGCTGGTGCGGCCAGGCCCGGAGCAGCGGCTGCCAGGCTGGGAGCGGCCAGGCCCGGGGGAGCAGGCGGGTCGGGTGCGGCCAGGCCCGGAGCAGCGGCTGCCAGGCTGGGAGCTGCCAGGCCCGGGGGAGCAGGCGGGGCTGGTGCGGCCAGGCCCGGAGCAGCGGCTGCCAGGCTGGGAGCGGCCAGGCCCGGGGGAGCAGGCGGGGCTGGTGCGGCCAGGCCCGGAGCAGCGGCTGCCAGGCTGGGAGCGGCCAGGCCCGGGGGAGCAGGCGGGTCGGGTGCGGCCAGGCCCGGAGCAGCGGCTGCCAGGCTGGGAGCGGCCAGGCCCGGGGGAGCAGGCGGGGCTGGTGCGGCCAGGCCCGGAGCAGCGGCTGCCAGGCTGGGAGCGGCCAGGCCCGGGGGATCAGGCGGGGCTGGTGCGGCCAGGCCCGGAGCAGCGGCTGCCAGGCTGGGAGCGGCCAGGCCCGGGGGAGCAGGCGGGTCGGGTGCGGCCAGGCCCGGAGCAGCGGCTGCCAGGCTGGGAGAGGCCAGGCCCGGGGGAGCAGGCGGGTCGGGTGCGGCCAGGCCCGGAGCAGCGGCTGCCAGGCTGGGAGCGGCCAGGACGGGGGGAGCAGGCGGGGCTGGTGCGGCCAGGCCCGGAGCAGCAGCTGCCAGGCTGGGAGCGGCCAGGCCCGGGGGAGCAGGCGGGGCTGGTGCGGCCAGGCCCGGAGCAGCGGCTGCCAGGCTGGGAGCGGCCAGGCCCGGGGGAGCAGGCGGGGCTGGTGCGGCCAGGCCCGGAGCAGCGGCTGCCAGGCTGGGAGCGGCCAGGCCCGGGGGAGCAGGCGGGGCTGGTGCGGCCAGGCCCGGAGCAGCGGCTGCCAGGCTGGGAGCGGCCAGGCCCGGGGGAGCAGGCGGGTCGGGTGCGGACAGGCCCGGAGCAGCGGCTGCCAGGCTGGGAGCGGCCAGGCCCGGGGGAGCAGGCGGGGCTGGTGCGGCCAGGCCCGGAGCAGCGGCTGCCAGGCTGGGAGAGGCCAGGCCCGGGGGAGCAGGCGGGGCTGGTGCGGCCAGGCCCGGAGCAGCGGCTGCCAGGCTGGGAGCGGCCAGGCCCGGGGGAGCAGGCGGGGCTGGTGCGGCCAGGCCCGGAGCAGCGGCTGCCAGGCTCGGAGAGGGCAGGCCCGGGGGAGCAGGCGGGTCGGGTGCGGCCAGGCCCGGAGCAGCGGCTGCCAGGCTGGGAGCGGCCAGGCCCGGGGGAGCAGGCGGGTCGGGTGCGGCCAGGCCCGGAGCAGCGGCTGCCAGGCTGGGAGCGGCCAGGCCCGGGGGAGCAGGCGGGGCTGGTGCGGCCAGGCCCCGAGCAGCGGCTGCCAGGCTGGGAGCGGCCAGGCCCGGGGGAGCAGGCGGGGCTGGTGCGGCCAGGCCCGGAGCAGCGGATGCCAGGCTGGGAGCGGCCAGCCCCGGGGGAGCAGGCGGGTCGGGTGCGGCCAGGCCCGGAGCAGCGGCTGCCAGGCTGGGAGCGGCCAGGCCCGGGGGAGCAGGCGGGTCGGGTGCGGCCAGGCCCGGAGCAGTGGCTGCCAGGCTGGGAGAGGCCAGGCCCGGAGCAGCAGCAGCCAAGTTCAGAGCAACTAGGTCGGGAGCGGCAGTGACCAGACCCAGAGCAGCTGGTTGTGGAATGAACCAGAGCAACAGAGGCCAGGCCCTGAGCAGCCAGGCCCAGAACAGCTCGCTCCTTGCCTGCCCCTGCTCCACGGCTGCTTCTCAGACATGGCTGGAAACTTTCGTGGGAACTTGAGGGTCTGCTGAATCAAGTGATGAAGGCTTAGATCTGGATGTGTTGAATTAGTTTAGGACTGGGGTGTTGATCTGTGAGTGCCTTGGGTGGGGCCTGGATGAGGCTGGTTGACCTAGTGGGAAATGTCTTTTGTGTGAAGTATATCATTGGGCATGTGGAGGTATTATTGATATGAGAAAATGCTAAGTAACTGATTTACTATCTGAAAAGGGATTTACTATTGGGGAAATTGAGGGAAGAAGAGACTGAACATAAACTGCACCTATGGATGAGGACAATGGGGGATGGGGGGGGGACGGAGGGGGGGGTGGGAACCTGGTGGAGGGGGGAAGAAATGAGGAACCTTTGTAATAATATGAACAATAAAGATTGATTTAAAAAAAAAAAAAAAAAAAAAAAAAAAGAAAGGTTTGGCACTAGAATATAGTATTAGCATACCATATTTTGGACAGTAAGCATTCTTCCTGCAGTCAGGCTCACGCTAGTACTGAGAAACACTATTCTTTGTGGTTATTGTTGTTAATCCTCACCTGAGGATATTTTTTCCATTGATTTTTAGAGAGAGTGGAAAGGAGGGGGGGAGACAGAGAGAGAGAAACATCAATGTGAAAGAGACATATCGATTGGTTTGCCTCCCACATTTGCCCTGACCAGGGCGGAGGATTGAGCCTACAACCGAGGTACGTGCCCTTGACTGAAATTGAACGGGGGAAGCTTCAGTCCTCCAGCTGATGCTCCATCCACTGAGCCAAACCAGCTAGGGCTGGGAAATACTGTTCTTAAAATGCTATGCATTATGCAAATAGAGCAGTACCACTGGTTCTGCCTTCCATAGCCAGTGGGTTAAGTTTGCAAATACTCATTGTCCATTATAATGGACATTGACATTGCTTTCATCTGGCCTTCCCAAAAGAATAGGTCAGGAACATTAGCATAACACAGTCACAAATGCCAGGTTTCCTGACTAACCTAGTGAAGTGTAGTCCTAGCCTAGTTCTTTGTTTCCAAATTATTCGGGCGATCTTAAAGTAACATTTAATAAATGTGCACTCTAGATTCGGGAATATGAGAAGAGCTTGTGCCTCTTTCTTCCCTGCTTTGTGTTGACAGCTCTCCATTGGAGGTGTCATCATTCTGAAGGATACCAGTGAAGACATTGAAGAGCTGGTGGAACCCGTGGCAGCCCATGGCCCGAAAATCGAGGAGGAGGAACAAGAGCCAGAACCCCCAGAACCATTTGAGTATATTGATGATTAAGAACCAGAGGTGTGTGGAACAAAATTGTCTATCAAGAGAAATCTGTCAGTTCTTCAGTAAAGTTTTATGTGGGGACATTGTCTCACTTTTTCTCTTTCTTTTGTGCTTAATCCTTATTTACCTAAACGGTATTAAATAATTCCCCCTCCCCTTTTTATCGCTGCTTACAATCATAACACCAATTCCTTTTTCTTTCTTCTTTGATTCTACCGTACTACCAATGCTGTTCAAAGTACCTGGTCTGCAAACTTTATACGTCTGTGAGGAGGTAGAAAGCTTGCTTTGGTTGTAAATCTGCTCAGTGCTTCTTTTATCAAAACAGCCTTTCATCTTCCTTCCCCCAAAAGAAGTCAGCTAAACTAACAGTTTGCTAAATGATGGAGTTGATTTACATTGTGTTATAAGCTTGTTGAAGATCAGTTACCGTTTGTGGGCCAGCGATGGTCTATAGATTACACTTTGAATAGCACAGGCCTGAACTTCTCCATGATTCTTATCTCCCTTTCCTTTATCAATACTTTCAGCACTAAAAGCTTTAACATTTATTTATATAGTGAAATTATTAAACATCTAGTATGTATGAAACACAGTGCCTGTAGGAACTTTGGGGTCATTTAAACTATAACACAAAGCTTTGTCCAGTTCAAAGAGATTATTATTATGCCGGCATTGGGGGAAGGGGGGCGGCAGCGTTAAAAGGCAAAAGTTGGGAATAATTTAATTTCACAAAATTGTCATATTTTCCCCATTTTTTTTTTAATGGTCATCACATATTTGAAGATGTCTGGTCAAGCTTCCTTAATTCCACCCTAGTTCAAATACATTATCAGACAGATATTAATTTATTCAACTCTTTAAAGGAAATAAGAACAGTATCATTGCACAGCCGGTATGGCTCAGAGATTGAGCATTGACCTATGAACCAAGATATCATGGTTTGATTCCCAGTCAGGGCATATACCAGGGTTACAGGCTTGATCCCCAGTATGGGGCATGCAGGAGGCAGCAAATCAATGATTTTCTCTCATCATTGATGTTTCTCTCTCTCTTTCTCTCTCTGTCTCTCTCTCTCCCTCCCTCCCTTCCTCCCTCCCTCCCTCCCTCCATTTCCACTCTGAAATCAATAAAAATATATTTAAAAGAAAAAAACAGTATATGTACACAGATAATAATAAAAAAAATTTTTTTAAACAAATCAGTAAAATTGTAAAAAAAAAAAAATAAAAGAACAGTATGATTTATTACAAAATAAAAATATATTTAAATTTAAATGTCAGTTTACAAATCTTAACATGATTATTATACACTGACTTGCAATTAATGAAAGCTTTTACAGATATGTCAGCTATATATTAAAGGATAAACCCTGTCATTAGTAGGAAAATATATTCAAGCCTCTGAAAGACAGTTTGGACCTAAGGGAGAGGGTGGTTTATATTAACATCCTTTCTATCTAGACTTGTTTTGAAAATTCTCTTTCAGAGAATTTCTCTTTTCAGGAAATCTTGATGGTTTCTTCCTCAGGTTTCCCAGCCAACACAATACAGTTTTACTACCATGAGCACTCAGTCTCTGTATAACCGACTCACATTAGCCCCCTTCTTCTTTTCACAATACCTCACTGAAGACTCCCAGATTAAGTCATTCAAGGCAGTTAGTACAAGATGGCTTAGAAATTTTTTAGTTGGAGGTTAGATTCTTATTAGTTTTCAAAAGGATAAAAAATTCAATAGAAATGTGAAAAATAGAGACTATTATAGCACAAACTGGCATACGAGGACTGTATAGGCATAGTTAGGGGCTAGTGTTAGACTTTAACAGCTAGTAGTTTAAAAGAAAACAAACTGTTTTTGAAATAAAGAATGAGCCTTGCTTTGCTTCTCATCTCCCCTTCCCCAGGATCTCATTGCTCATCTGAAGAAGGTTGTCCAGGTTCATATTGGAAATGTCTATGAGGAAATTCATGTTGAGACCTGCTATTCACTGCATGTATCATTGCCTCTGCACTGACCTGAAAAACCTTGTCTCCAAGTCTTTGGTTGAAGAGAAGATATATGACTATTTAGTATGCTCTTTCACACAACTTGGTTTTCAAATAAATATATTAAAATCTACAGATGGAGAAGGACTGTTTATTTGTTTGATTGTTTGATTTTCAGCCTGGATTTTAAATAAATGGGCTTAATACCTTTCACTACCACTACCACCACCACCACCACCTTCATGAAATGCCTAAATTGAAAGAGCTAAAACCTTGATTGCTAGGATGAATATGTATGACTTTTATACACACACACACACACACTAGGGGCCCAGTGCACAAATTCATGCACCTTGAAAGGAATTGTAGGCTGTGAGGCTGCAGTGGGCACAGGGGAAGGTCTCGGCCTATACTCCATGCTCCCACCACAGCACCTTCCCCCCCACCCCCCAGTTCCCTTCTGCAGGCAGCCCTGCTCCCACCGCTGCCACAGCTCCCACTCTCACAGCACCAGCCCCAACGCGGTGCAATTGGGGCTGGTGCTAGTAGTGGCTACACAACTGCTGCCCCAATTGCCCCTCAGGAGCAGGGGGAGGTAGAGAAGCCCTAGGTCTATCGGGGCTGGCAGCTGCTGCTAGCTTCCATTGATGCCTAGCGATGGGACCAGTATGTGCAAATGGGTGTGCAAGTGGGGCTGGCACTGGCAGCCAGCCTGAGCAAGGCTGGTGCTAGCAGCAGGTGTAAGCGCCAAGTGGGACCACAGTGCACAGCAGCAAAGAATTTTCAGTAACTACTAGTGTCTCACTCCACTCACAGCAACCAGCACCTCACCTTGGTCTGACATCCCCACTCACCTGCTCCATCATCCTGCCAGGGCCAACACCCGCTATGTTCCACACACCCCTTGTGGACAGCATACATCATAGTTATCGGTTGTTCAGTTCTGTTCGGTCTATTTGTGTATTAGGGTTTTATATATGTATATAAACATGTAATTATATATATATATATATATATATATATATATATATATATATATATATATAAAATTTTAAAAAATGCTTCATTGGTTTTGAGAGAAAGAAACATTGATGTGAGAGCACAACATCTATCACTGCCTCCTACAGCACACTGGAGATTGAGCCAGGGCATATGCCCTGACCAGGAATCAAACCAGCAATCTTTTGGTGCATGGGACAACACCCAACCAACTGACTTCCAATGTCAGGGCATATGACTTTCAAATTTATGACAAACTATTTCATAGATGATTTGAAAAATAAGGGGGGGGGGGATAAACCCTGGTTCAGAGAGAGTGAAAGGGAAGTAGAGAGGCAGAGAGAAACAGCAATGTGAAGAGATACATTAATTGGTTACCTCCACATGCCCCACCCTGGGCCAGGGATTGAGCCTGCAACCGAGGATCCTTCAGTCTGAGGACCCATGCTCTAACCACTGAGCCAAATCAGCTAGGACTTTTTTTTTTTTTTTTTTTTTTTTTTTTTTTTGTAGTGAAGGTGTGGATGCCATCATTTATTGAAGAAGTCCCTTTAATCCAAGAGAAATGTAGTCTAGGCAATCCAGATACATTTTTAAAAAAATAAGCATTGCTTATTGTTTCCTCCTATTGACCTTGTTAAGAACAATAATATAAACTATTCAGTTTCATTTAGCTACAGAATCTGTTAATGTACCTTTTTTCTCCTTTTTCATTTTTCATGTTTTTAGTAATTGAGGTGTAAGTTAAATGTAATTAAAATGGGAACATTTAAAATGTATACAATTTGGTGAGTTTTGACAAGTACGTGTTTTATTTCTATATTACCACACCTTCCTTGGATGTTGAACTTTTGAAATAAGCAAGCACGGTCGTTATTCTGTTTGTCATATGAAATGGATCTCTAATTTACTGGGAGATGGCATTAAGAGCTAGATTTGGGGGGCAGGGGTTGGTTGTGGGTTTTTTGTGTCCGTCTTCAGTCATATAAAAGATCGTTTCTAACACATGAGTCATTTTTTGCTTTAACCTTGATTCTTTCACTTTTTAGAGGAAACAAACTCTTGGGCACGTAGATCAGCCCTAATACATTCGTAGCTACATCTTTGTTAGGTCCAGGTCTAAAGGTTACTGATCCCAAAGAATGGCTCACTCATTGGTTAATTTCATTGTGTCCCCTCTTTTGTGAAGTCCTTATTTCCTCAATATCAGATCATTCTATAAAAGAGATTATCTCATTTTCTAGACAATTAGTTATGTCCTTCCTGTTTAAGCTTCTAGCATTTCAGAGTGATCTCTAACATTTCCCTTAATATATTACATGTTTAAAAAACAGAAGTCTCAATGATGTTATTGTCCAAAATTGAGTAGTCTGGAAGAAGTGGTACATTCACTGGCCTCAGGCCAAAGTTATTAAATTCAGTCCAAAAAAAATAGACTGAACTTCAGGAGTAGGCAACATTAGTTCCTGGTATGCAGTACAATTTAGAACTTATATTTTGGTCTTAAATCGTGAGGTTCTAGCTTTAAAAAAACAAGCTAAAAAGAAAAATGGCTTCTTGGATCAGATTATGATGAGACTCTGATGGTGTTTCTCGCTGCCCCCCCTCCCCCGCCTACTAGATTTTCTAGGAATGCATAGCACTTAATGAGAGCTAACTAAGAAGTAAATAGGTCTAAGGTGAAATAAGTCATGTCTGAAGACAGGATTGGAGCTAAAATTGACACATTCTCTAGAAGAACAAGAAAGGAGAATGACTGCAATTATTCCCAATGATGTCATTGTAGCACACTGCCTTGTGAGATGCACAGATGGAAGGAAATGGTTTGGTTTCTTGGATTGGACTTAATCATCTTTCTACTACCTGTCTGCAGATAAATGACTGCTGGTTCTGCCTTCTAAATACTATTTCTTGGCATTCATGACAAATCTTTTCCTCCTGTCCTTGACCCCTTTGTTTAACAGATTGAGTAAATATTTAGTTTTATTTGAGCACTAGAGGCCTGATGCATGACATTTGT